TTCTGTTTTGGTTCTGCAACCAGAACCTTCACAAAATGCTATTTTTACCATCAAAACGTATGTAATTCTTAAAAAATGAAAAACATTTTGGGTTATATTTGTTGATTCTAGAGAGGTAAAAACCTACAAAACTCATCCTGACTACCAATGTCCAAGGAGTATTATCAAATAGACATAACATAGTCCAATTTTGATCAGGGCATATTCCTAATCAGTGGCTAAAGCAACAAGTAGAAATTCTGGGTTTAGAAATATATACATGCTTGCATTTTATCTCACAAGAATTTATTTTAGAGGCATTAAATAGGCAAATCTATGTGACCCTTTCCTTTTATAGTGCGACATTCATTACATTTACATGCACACTTACTATTCCATTATTATTATTCAGAATACGACAATATTAAGCATTATGTATGCAGTGCATTTGGAATATTCGTCTCAAATAAAGTTTTAACACAATTTATGACCCGCAGCCTATCGACTGTTTACTTACAGCTCTGTGCGTGGTACACAAACCAACTAGCCAACAATTTGCAAGGCTGTGGTAGAAAGGCATTTCTACAAGAAGAAAAAGAAGAATCACACCTACTTTCAAACAAGACTTGGACACAAGGTTTTTGAATATTGTAGTTGCGACCTTTTCAAAAAGGTGAGAGGAGGCATCAAAGAGCCGTACAAGTCCTATTTTGATGCAAAGTCAATCACAATATCTATAATTTGACGTGATTAACAACATGTTAGTCTGAGTTTGCACTGCTGAATGTAATTGGAAATATAAGTTGAATTGTCACTACCACTCTATATCAATGAAAACAGCTTAATAGGAATATTAGGCGCTTTCACACCAGAGTACTTTTCCCAGTATAGTTCCGATATACTTCCGAAAATGTGCGTTCACACCAAAAAAATCCGGAACTATAACTTAGTTCATGAGAACCTTTTCACCCCCTTTGCAGTCCCTGCTAGAGAGCAGGTACTTTCATGGGAGACAAAGGTTCCCATTTCTGATTGGCTGGGCGGATTGCAAACGATGCCCCGTAAAACTCCCAAAAAGTTTTGTGAAGCCGCCATTTTATTTTCCTCGCATTAGCATTATTAGCATTAGCATTAGCCCAGCGCACAAACGCAGAGAGACTAACTTATGGCAACACAAAAGAAAACATGGGAGCGGTGGAGATGAGGAGGTGTCGGCGTTTTTGCGATTTACTCGGAAGGCTTCAGTAGAAACTGCTGGGAGTCCCAGCAGCTTCTACTGAAGCCAGTCCCCCCCCGCCGTGAAGTTGTTTGCGGCCTGCCAGTAAACCCAAAGCAGAAGAAGAAGAGAAGAAGTGACGTCAGCGGCTTCATTTGCCTAATCCTCCCTCAGGGACTTATTCCAGTGTGAACGCGATCTGCTCTTTAGTTCATCAGAACTAAAGAGTTCTGATGAACTAAGTTCTGATGAACTAAGTACGGCAAAGTACTTGGTGTGAAAGCGCCTATTGTCTTTCTTGGGAAAAGGGCAAAAAACGTAATATGTTCTGCATGTTAACGTATTCACTGGCTCTGCTTCCTTAAAAGGTGTTGTCACCCGGAATATATTGCAGCGACTTCAATGATTCATCAAAAACATGTTGTCCAAGTGCACAATCTGTATATTTAAAACGGAAGGGGACAAAGTGTGTGTGTGTGTGTGTGTGTGTGTGTGTGTGTGTGTGTGTGTGTGTGTGTGTGTGTGTGTGTGTGTGTGTGTGTGTGTGTGTGTGTGTGTGTGTGTGTGTTGCCTCAGGGCTACAGTACGCAGAGAGATACTCAGGCACGGTGTGATCTAACAGCCGTCAACGACAAGACTGGGATGTAACAGCCTAAAATGTAGTTCAGTGTTCACAGTTCACTTCTTTGTGCAGCAACTCAACACTAAAGAAGAGTTGGAGCGGCGAGATATTTTTACACTGCTGAATAGATTTTCCTCAACGTGGCATGAAAACAGTCAAAGAGCAAACTGAGCCATTTATAGTAAGGTAGTAGTAAAATATGCAGATGATACTCCCCCCCCCCCCATCATCGATAGTAACCAGGGTTCCAACTCTCCAATTATATAATAATATTTTCTCTGAGGTTCTTTACTCCCCGCCCCCTTCAAGAAACTACATTTCCATAGCGACAAACGCTGATCCGTGCTTCGCAGAAATAATTGCTGGGTCTTGGATCAAATGGTTGTTCCGTGTATGTTTAAAATTTCATAACTTGTGACTATCTTTGGTATATTTACCGTAAAAGCCCAAGGACTCTGACTTTTCTATTTACGTCCTTGGGGGGTTGTGTGCGGCCTCTATAGGCTCAGTCGCTACATAGCTGACTGCATTGATACAGACAATCATGTGTATGAAAGCAGAATGATCACGATGTACTGTAGAGAAGGAGTGGTTTGCCTGGAACAACGTATAGGAAAACCTTTTAATTAATTGTACTATGATACCGTTAATGCAATCCCCCTAAAGGCCCTACATCTGAAATCTACTACATATTTTTCTGTTTGAAAAGTTTATTTTTCTTTCTCTGATGTCCTTGCTGGTTTAAAGCTTGCAAGGATTGGTTAGAAAATATTCCTTACTTGTGTACATCAATCAGAATTTCCAGCAGTTGAATCTGAATGTTGTTAGAACCATCAATCAAACCACGCAGACCTGATCAATACGTTTTTCACAGTTTTCTGCATCAACACCAAAATATAACCTACAATTGGTATTCCTATTTAGTCATAAATGTTTTATGTTTTACTGAAATACTTTAGATTTGAAGCCAAGTTCTCCAACCACATTCGGGGCCTTTACTCCATCACCTTTACTTTTTACAGTGTCTGCAGGGCAAAGAAATCACAAAAAATACTTCATCATCATAAGGCTTTTTTGTTTTGTCCCTTGGTGAGGTACAGTGTGTTTACTTCTTTCTTATTTGTTATCACCTCTGCAAGAAGGTTATGTTTTTGGTTTGTTGTCTGTTTTTCAGCAAGATTGTGAAAAAACCACTGGCCCAATTGTATGGAATTTGGTGGAAGGAGGTAGCGTGGGACAAGGACATTACATGAGGGAGCAGATCTGAATCATGGGACTATTACACGCTTAACTTGTTACTCAAGGGAAAGATATTGATGGATATCTCCAGTTTGTCTTGTAGTTTCTGCGATAACACCATTAAAATATTGATCTATCTATAAATAGTTATTGAGAAAGAAAAAAAAAAGATTTGACTACTTACGGTTTTTAGCTACTATTTTCAATTGGTGAAAAGCCTGGTGCTGTTACTATATCCGGTTTTCTTTATACATCAATGTTCAGGACTTTTGGACAGAGCCAGGCTTGCTATTTACACATGTTTTGAGTCTTTACGCTATGCTAAGCTAAGTTCAGCTAAGCTAAGCTAAGGCCAGGCTGACTCTAGCTTCAGACATGCACATTAATGCACATTTTCAGGCACTATAAAAACATTTTAGGAACATTTGTGGCATGAGGCGTGGACAATGCATGTGGGAGCAGATGCGACTTATGGGATGATTACTCCCTTTCGACCATTGAAATATTGATCTATTAATCCATCTATCTATGAATAGTTAAAGTTATGGAAGAGAACTGAAGATTTAAGTCAGATGTTACCTGATTTTACATTTTGTAAGGTTTAGCTACTGTGTTAAAATTGGTGAGAACTCTCTTCTTTTAACATCTGCTTAAAACTAGTTTGGACAGAGTCATGCTAGCTGTCTTTATGCTAAGCTAACGGGATGCTGGCTCCAGCTTCGTACTCACCCTATATGCACATTTTCAGGCACTTCAGTCTTTGTGGTCACTAAGGTTGTTGTGTGTGAGTTTCTTCAGAACACAGAGCATCAGGAATCATGCTGGAAAAAGAACAAGCTATTTCAAAGAGAGTAAATTCAAGCTTGACCTGATTTTTGCAACCCGTTATCTCCCTTAAAATGTCAAGTACCTGAATACGCTGATCAGGGCATGAAAGTACTTATATATATTGTGTCCTTGAGTCCCAAAGATTAACATTTCCATTTCAGGCGAAAAGCCTCTGGAAAGCCAAACATCACATGCTGAGTGTAGAAAACGGGAAAAGGTTACTGAGCCTTATCTGCAATTATGCAAAAACACAGAGATTGGCCAAACGCATGCTCATTGGTACAAAGGGAATAATGCCTTGATGTTGCTTACAGCGCGCTCTAATCAGGGGAGATGTGTAGTATACAGCACATCCTAGAGGAGGATAGGCAAGAGAACAGCTGACTATACACAAGTCACACCTTGTCATGTTCTGAATTATGAATACAGGCAATTAAACTTTAATTCCCCCGATAGTAAAACGAACGATAGAGATGGCTAATTAACGAGCTTTTCTTAAATTTGGTTTTAATTCAGGAGCTCCTCATTTGCACAGATAACATATATCCGCTTTATTCAAGGCTCTGCATGAACACTAGAAACGTTCCTCCAATACGTCAAATAAATAGCGCTTCACTTTCTTCGACCCTCTTCTTCTATCAGCTGCACTGACATGGAGCTGCTTAGATGTTGACAACTCCACTCCTGCACCCATTGTGTCAACCGTTTCATTTTCAACTAGGATTTTTTTTTAGAGGAAGACAAGAAATGAAAACTCAGTACATGGGTCACAAGGAAAAAAAAGCTGCTCTCTTATCTTTTCATCAACACCTGGGAATATAAATAGTTCAGTTTAAAAATAATAGCTTTCATCTTCAATTACCCCTCTGAATATTCAATATGAGAGCAATGGTGCCCCCTTGTGTAAAGTATAATTAATAGTTTGATGGTTATATACGTGCAAAGGTAGATTCTAATCAAATGTGACAACAGAGAGATTGTGCAAAGCATATAAAACGTTTAAGTTGTGTGCTCTCCTCTATGGCAGGCTGTGTAAGGTATGTGTTTTGAACATTTTTATTCCACATTCATACAGTTCCCTCTGCAGAGTTTCAGTCCGTCTGTCTGTCTGCAGCTCTATCCTCCGCTGTCACAGCTCTGGGCGCTCTGCACCGCCCTGGGCTCAGTCAGCCGGTCGTAGGACAGCACTGTCATTACCTGAGAAATGCACACAGTGAGATGGCTTTAGAGAATACAGAGCACCGAGTCATGAGTTAGTAATAAGCAGAGTGCTGAGTTAAGGGTTTTACGGGTGACTGTTTTTCAGTGTGGGAAAAGCTTTAAATAGTTTCTAATAGAGAAACAGGCTGGCTGAACTATGCCAGTTCCAGCTCATTGAGAGTTTGAAAAGAAAGGCAATATATAAACATTCAGGGAACTACATTTATCTTCTTTCTTGCCAAAAGAATATATAAAGCTCCAGCAGGAAGTGGCAGTGCCTGGCCAAGAAATAGTGAGGCACATTACTTACAATCAAACGACAAACTGCCATTTTTACACTTTGTTATTTGTATGGCATGAACAAAATATGACTTGTTATTTAGTGAGATTTAGATGTGCTGGTTCTGTAGATGGATTTTTAAATGAGAAGCTACAGTCAGGAGCCCCTTAGTTTAAAGACTGGATAGAGAGGAAAACAGAATAAATAATATAAAAAGGACCTCTAAAAGCTCACTAATTTACATATTAGATGTATAGAAGTACAATTCAAGAACAAGGCAATTCAAAGTGCTTTCCAAAAAAACAATAAAAGCATCAAAGCATACACAGGCAATATAAAATGACATTAAACACAGATTAAATGTAGTTATTAAAGAGCAAACACAATAGAATAGATTGAGAGAACTGGATACAGTGTGACAGTTGCTCAGTGGCGCATGAAGCCAGAAAAGTTAAACTGCCAAGAATAAAATGAATCAGATCAGGAACCAATTGGTGGTGTAATGGCAATTGTAAGCTTCCAATGTCCTATATCCTTTGCCATTACACAGGAGGGTTTAGAGTGATCCAGACGCAGACACAAACAGATGATTTTCTGGTCTTTTGCTGCAGTTTAGAATGATGTTTATTTTGCTTTACATACCAAGGTTTAATTATACTGTGTCAAAGGTTGTGGTATGAGCATCTGCCGGGCTGGTGGAATCGGTGTGCTCTTCCTCCTGTGTCCTCGTCCTCTCCGGTCACCTATGACCTCTTTTATACACCCAGTACAGCTAACCCCCGCCACCAAGTGTCCAAAAATAATATTGCAGTATAAATATAAATAAAGTAAACTGAGACACCAACAACACCCATAAAATGGCTCCTACAGGTGGCATCACAGAGACAATACCATTTTAATATTTTACAGTGGGAAGTTCATTATCTTCATAATGTCACTTTCACCATTCAAGTAAAACATTTTTGTTCACGGACCTCAAAGTTATGACCTCACAGTTGGCCACCATGTCAAATTGGTTTCAATATCCTTGCTGTTACTGTATCCAGTTGTCTTGAACTTTGGAAAGAACCAAGCTATCTGTTAACCCATGTTTCCAGCCTTGCTAAGCTAAGCTAAGCTAAACTAACTAGCTGTTCGCTCCAGCGTCGTAATTACTGTAAAGACATAAGAAGGTTGTCAATCTTCTTATGTGACTCTTGGCGAGAAAAAAAGGAATCTTTTAATTCCTCATGTTTCCAACTTTCTGATGCTTTTAAAAGTCAAATGATCTGTGTTGTACTTACTGTGATCATGATGAGGAGAGCTAGCATCATGCCCAGCATTACGTACAAATTGTTGGTCAGCCCCCCTGCCCACAGAGGCCCCAGGATGGTGGCTAGGCCCCCCACTGAGCGCCTCACACCTTGGCTGAATCCTGTGGTGAGCGTCACAAAAAAAAAACGTGTATAAGTGTTTCTTTGCATTACATATGCTGAGCAGCAATCTGTTGATCTAATATGCTGAATTGTGAAGCGGTAAAAAAGAGCCAACCTTGTGTTTTCTCTGCGGTGACTTTGGAGAAGAGCGACACCTGAGACACGGCCACGAAGGGAAGCCCCAGCAGCTGGAGGAAGACCCCGATGATGAAGGCCGTCAGCTCCCACTCATATCCACCTGACAGAGAGATGTACCCTGCTATTACTTGATTATAGTAGTAGCCCCGTATTATAGGGAACATGTCATTAAACAATTATATTTACAGACTGCAAACACCAACTTTTACATACAGAAATGAATATATCAGTCAATCTCTATTTAATAAATGTAGGGCTGTCAATGTTAACACGTTAACACTAGCAATATGGAAACCTTATTTGAAAAACATTCACCTAAATGAATCACTTTACTTAAAGTGGACCTATCATGCTATACATGTATTTGAATAATATATTGTAGGGTCATACCTATATAAGGTATATTTATACGTTTTCTTTTTCAAAATACCAAACAGATCATGCATTTTAGCCATGCCTCATTTCGCTCTATTTTGCTCTCCTCCACCCTGTCTTTGCATGCGCTGCAGCTGACCACGCCCCCCTGCAAAGGAGGGGGCCGAGTTACGAGCGTCGTGTTACCATGCTGTTACCATGCCACGGCAACCTCTCATTCCCCTGATAGGTCAGCTCCTCCGTCCTGACGTCAGAGAAATGTTCAAATCTGTATCAGTCTGTATCAGATCCGTTGCAGCCCCGTTTTTAGAGATTTGGGTATGGAGGAAAATAGAGAGGGTTGTGTTTTCTGACACTTGGTGAGTTCCCTGGAACACCAGGGACACATATTCATGTATAGAAGACGTACAAAAGTGCATTTTGCATGATAGGCCCCCTTTAATTTGACCTCAACTTCCTCTAATTCCAGAACGGATGTTTACCATGAATTGAAATGGCAATTTAATTCCAGAACGGATGTTTACCATGAATTGAAATGGCAATTTTAATTTGGCACTGACTGGAGACTATTGGACCATCCGTAACAACAATTACAGGTTTTTTACTTTATTTTAAAATCTCAGCCTAGTGTGGATGATTTCTGAATTATTGGCATGAAGTTAGATAACTTTTCAACACTTGGCTCCAGGTAGGAGTGTAGTTCATAATCCATACACAATATGCACTACAACCTTTTTCACATGTGAAGTACTGTATGCCTGTATTTTAATGTATTTGTTGTATATTTGCACGTTCTATGTAGGAATGTAATTGTTACAGATGTAGTTCTAAATCAATGGTCACCACTTTGGTTTTGGGAATACGGTTTGAAAGCCTTGAGTCTTTTTTTTTGCTGTTGCCATCTTGTTTTTTTGGAACCAGATGTTCAATAGTTGATAGGCAGCCAAAATGTTGACTTCATTTGAAAATGCATTGTGAAAGAGTAAAAGTTGTAAGACAAAAATACCTTTTTATTGACAGATCGCTGTCAACTACAAGGTAGCCCCCCCAAAAATCCTGCTCTTCTTTACTTACTATTTACTCTTAATGGGATCACTTGGCTTAAGCATTGACAAAGCCGCTGTGTTACCCCTGAACAAAAACAACCTGGAAACGCCTAAAAAATTCACACCTACCTTCTTCCAAAAATGTAAGCGCAGGTTTTACAGGGAATTGCAGGGCAGTGTAAAGGCCGCTACACACCCACCTGAGACCAAAGAACGCGTACCGAAGGCGTCCCGACTTTTACGTCAGGCTACGCCGCCCGCCTACGAACACACCGCAAATACTTCAGTCGACGAGTGGCAATAACTGTCCTTACCAGCAGGCAGCGGTAGTGTGAACAGCCAATCAGAGTGATTGCTTGGGCCGACTTTCTCTGACCTCCCGCGAGGTGTGAAAAGGTGCCGTAAAGAGACGACGGTGCGGGACACACCAACCTGAGTAGGGCGCCGCGAATGCCCGACTGCCTCTGACTCCCAAAATCGGGTTGGTGTGTAGCCAGCTTAAGGAAAAAAATATTATACACAGTGCTAACACAGCGGCTCTTTAGATGCTTTAGCTAACTGCAGGAAAATCATCTGACCTCATGCTAATAATTGAGAAATATTCAAAACCCTGTTAATGTTAATCTCTCTAAGCTAAGGTTTCAATATTTATCGCAAGCGTTAACCCATTAACGTTGACAGCTCTAGTAAGTACATCACTTTCTATCAAACTATAATATTTGTGTTGACTAATATACGGTTATATGGATTCAAAGTGTGTGTCGGATGAATTCCATCCCTTCTCTGGGTTTTTAAGCTCCTTCCACCAGTGGGCTGGCACCAGCACAGATAGCTCTATCTGAGAACTAAACCACTGCCAAGCTGGCAGCCACCAGATATTTGTTCTCTGCTGCTCTGCACCGTGCACATGTTGGTGTGAGCGTGTGCCCACTCAGACTGTTGGATGTCTATGCACGATCTGAGGAGTCTGTAATATTATGATCAAAACGCAATTTCACCAAAAGCCAGTCCACGAGAAAATTTGTTTTTCATCAGGTGTCTGCCGACGTTGGTAACTGTTACTGTAACAAATGGCAAACAAAAGTAGGGTATGCTTTAAGAAATAGCATTTTTGTCTAATTAGATTACTGTAATCCTTTTATACGGACTCCCCGGCTGCAGCACCTGTCACTTGTAATCAGAGCGATAAAAATGACGAGCTGCAACAGACGCGGGGCCAGCATACAGGATCTGTGTGTCTGTGATCTCTTGCTGAATGATATCATTTACAGAGCACATTCAATTCAGCCAGATATGTCTCCTCTGCGCTGCACACCCCAACAACAGCCTCACAGAAAAGGATTTGGCACAGAACACGGCTGTGTGTGCCTCTCTATTGCTGTTTGTATGTGTTCCTGGACAGGTGAGCACCTCGGGGGTCGCAGAGGAAGACGAGGCACCAGATGCAGGCGGTGCAGCAGATGATGAGACCCAGGCCCAGCACGGCGCGGTCCTCCACCCTACGGCTCAGCCAGCGCACAAAGAAGAAGCCCAGGATGACCTCCACCCCGCACAGGCCGTACATCAGGCTGTTGCCCAGCTCGCCGAAGCTGAAGTGGCGCTGCGTCAGAGGAGTCACCATGGTCTTGGGGGGTGTTGGAAAGAAGATGTTCAGGCAGTCAGACAAAGGGATTTATTTAAGAGGAGGATGTTTTTAAAACAGCTGAAACTAGCATCTTTTAATCAGAGGTGTGAATATTTTGCTATCTCACAATTCTAATTTTAATTCTTTGGGTCACGATTTAAAGAGGCCCTATTTTGCTTTTTGGGGGCTTCCCTTTCCTGAAGTGTGTTATAGGTTTGTATGCATCCAAATGGTCTGCAAAAGCTAAACTCCCTCTGTTCCCTCCAGAGGGAGTTTCTCTCCCACACTCCCACCTGCCTGAAACACCTCCATTGGACTCCTTTGTTTACTTCCCTAACGTAATGACATCACTACATAACACTTGTGATTCTATTGGCTAGCGCTTGCACACATTAATAATAATTATTATACATAATTTATTGACAAATCACAACAAAGCTGGCCCGATTGATTTCATTTAAAGCCGTAGACAAAAGGTAGTATTAATTACATTTTAATTTGTAAAATTGACATACAGATACTCATCTGTTTTTCTAATTAAATAAAATAAGATGTAAAATATATTATTTATTTTTCTAAATAGTTTTCAATTACATTTTTTCTTATCATCTTGGAAGATAAAAATCTTGATTCTTACATAAACCAATTTATTCTGCCCCACCCTTACTATTAGGTCCTTCAACCGCTTCATTCAGTCCAGATCTGAAGATTTGTTCTGTTTTGATATTGAAATCGATGTATAATCCGGGTCGGCACTGTGACTAATGTGGCCACGGTTTAATGAGAGGAGAAAAAGACCTCTTCATGGTTTACGTCTGGGACATAAAGGCTGATTATGTACACTCACTTACATCACTTCTACTTTGAGCACTAAGCGATACTTGATTTTCTTTTCTGGCGCGGGTCTTTCAAGGTAAGGCTCAGATTGATGCAGTTTGGATGAAACTCAGGGTAAAATAGTGTGACACTGTGTGAAATGCTTGGAAACCCCGGCTGATGGATCTCAACGGTAGCTGCTCTCACCTCCAGCGCTGTCTGATTGAAGAGAGTGATGAACTGAGCCGTGAGGAGAACAACCACCTCCTCTCTCAGGAACTCTGGAGAGAAAGAGGGAGAGAAAATCATAAAAGAAGATCAAGTGGTGCCGTGGAATTGAAAGTTTCGAATGGCAAGTTCGGTTGAGATAAAGAAGTTTAAAGAGAAAAGAAAAACGTATTAATCTCAAAGTAATCTTAAGACTGAAGTTGTGATGAGTCTTTCGATCATGCCGTCCTTTTTTCTAGAGATAAGTAAGAGTTCTGCTATTTTTCAAAGCCCCAAAACTTCATAACATGAGATATTCTGTTTTATGAATTCCAAATTCGGATCCCAGCTTTTCCTGGAACACAAACTCCCTTATGGACTTGGATAGGAGGAAAAATGAGCTGGGCTGCTAAATTTGGAAGTACATGCCAGATGGCTGGATGAGTGTGGTCTACTATGGCTGAGTACTCTCTGTTCTGTCTCTTACTATACTGCATAAAATACTGCATGTGTAGTGTTCAAATGTAATTTGACTGTATCTTAATGTGTGTGTGTGTGTGTGTGTGTGTGTGTGTGTGTGTGTGTGTGTGTGTGTGTGTGTGTGTGTGTGTGTGTGTGTGTGTGTGTGTGTGTGTGTGTGTGTGTGTGTGTGTGTGTGTGTGTGTGTGTGTGTGTGTGTGTGTGTGTGTGTGTGGATGTTTTAACCAAGACATCTCTCCTTCATGGACTCAGTTTTAAGCCTTGAGTTTTTGTTGTCGCCATCTTGCTTTTTTGGAACCAGTTGATCATTTGCTGATATGTTCGAGCTAAGTACAACTGACCGCTGAACAAGACCTATTTGGGCAACTAAAATGTTACCATTAACTTTCAAAACTGAAACTATATTGCGAAAGGATTGAAGTTGTAAGACCAAAACACGTTCAACACTGTGTGTTAGCGAGCTGTCAATCACAAGGTCGCCCCACCAAAAATCATACTCCGCTTTATTGGCTATTTCACTCTTACTTTGACCATGATATACTAATTGAACATTATGCTGTAGGGTTAGGGTTAAAAACTCCAAGCAGAGGCCCTAATCTCATCAGGAAAACACATTCTGAGATGATCAATCCAGGGAGAAGTATAGGGTACATTTTTTCCTAGACTTCTAAACAATCTTGCAACCAGTGGAGTGGTTATTCAAAAGGCTTTTAATGGATGTATTATTCCATGTGTACAAAGATGTCGGATTTTCAAATATCCACAGCAGATTCAGAGATATTAGGTTTTTCCGAACTATCGACACATCCTACGATTTACATGATGCCAAAAGATAACCTTATTAGACCCTCTGAGTTAACTGTCACATCCTTCACTCCAGCTCCCCTACTGTGACACAAACTTGTCAACTTGAATTTGTAGGTCCTCAAGTTAAAGCCATGACATCAGCAGGGATATTTTCCTTGAAATTTGACCAAGCTTCTTCAGAAAGGAGAAATACTCATCCTGGTTTTCTGTCAAGTTAAACTGCTTTATTCTGTGTTTTCTAACATGTTGTACTTGCTGTGTACGTTGGTTTTTGAGAGGAGAATACCTCTGAGGATAATTTGGTGAGGAACTAGGACCATCTTGGATCACAGAAGCCTTGACACCAATTCGGGCCTGGACCCTTCCTTACTTCCTAGCACATAGTTCCAGCTCGTTTGTTTGGACCACACCCATCTTTGAACCCAGCCTTTATTTTGATCTGAACTGTAAAGCTTTGCGACACCAAATCGGCATAAGTGTCCAAAGAATATCTAACAAAATATTTAACCCTGTCTTCGAAACATTAGTCACTGTTATAATACTTATTCAAGCTAAATGTTTTACTCATGTTGTTGGCATTAACTCCCACAGAAATAAAAATAACGTGAAAGATCAGTCTGAATTTCAAAGATCCTGCTATATTACACAAAAGGACGAGGAAGATCAATAATTCAAGAGGGATAGACTGTAACGGCTAACAGGCACACATCTTCCAGTTCTCTTCAAATCAAAAATAAATCGATAAGAAGAATGTTGGCCACATTACCAATTCTGTCTCCATTTCATCCACAAGTCAACCACAGCAAGCCTGTCAATAAAAAAGGAAGTCTGCTATCCATGCCTTTGCCACATCTTCAAAGAGTCAGGGAATCGATTTGAAGCCTTGACACACACACACACACACACACACACACACACACACACACACACACACACACACACACACGGACTGACAAAGTACATGAAAAGTGAATCAATAGCGACACACGATCACTGCTTGCATGTAAACTTGCTATGACACTAATCCAGTAGGACACCACTCATCATACATATGCATGTACACTCTGACAGAAAGGACACACACACACACACACACACACACACACACACACACACACACACACACACACACACACACACACACACACACACAGCTCCAATCAATGCACTGGGAATCTGATCTTACATGCCACACAGAATTCCATAGAGAGACTTGGAGAATGGAAAGTGTGTGCAAGTATGTGTGTGTGAAAGAGAATCAATGGAGCTGATTTGAAACATGTGCATTGGCAGTGACACCTCTTCCTACCTGAGCCCCACAAATAGGGCGGAGGAAGGCTGACAGTCATTGCTGGGGACGGGCAGTCAAACCTGCTGGCTCACCTCTGCTGGCGCTGAAGTTCTTGAAGGGGCTGGGGGCCGACAAGGGGCCGTGGACGGGCTGCATGTCAGAAGAGGCAGAGGCATCGGATTGGTCGGAGTTGACAGCTCTGTAGGTGTGGACCGGCTCATCGTCGGAGCCCATTAGCGGCACCTCCTCCTCATCATTCTCCTCTCGTTTTATCTCCAGCATCACTGTGTCCCCCTCTGAGCTGAGGGGCGGTACATCCCAGTACATAGCCAGGACCACAAACTGAAGCAGCACCCACAACAGACACATGAAGATCTGAGAGCAAACAAGGGGGGAAACAAGAATGTTCTTACAGTATATCATTGCTTTAACCCCATATACTAAAAACAATGCAAGACATTGTAAACACTAAGGGTTAAGGTCATTAGAATGATAAAACATATCTTAATTAAATACCTAAGAATCTGTAAATCAGTTTAGAAAAAAACTAATTTGCAAAGGAGAAAAAGATCACTCCATTCTCCTTTTCCATACCAGCCACTTAAAATGAGGCCAAAAATGTCTGATGTTACAATTGTCAAGGACAAAAACCCTATTTTCCATTATGAGATTTCATCCAATGTTTTGATTCCTGTTCTGAAAATATATTCTAGTAACTAGCACTACTCTTGTGAACAAACGCGTCAATAGTCCATAACCTTGTTAGCTCATATAAGCTAGTTAGCTCATGGAATATAAATAGCTGACAAGCTAAAGCTTGCTAACTAAATGACAGGACAGAATAAAACATGACACACGGAAGATAACAACCCACCCATGTCAATGTTAGGGTGCACCAATAGATGAGAATATTCCCCCAGTAATAAATATGTTGTTCTATTATTTGAAAGTTTAGTCAGAGAGACAGAGGGGAACAACAATGGAAACTATCCTACCGGATGCTTAAATTGAATGTTTCTTTTATGGAAATTCATTACAAAATATTTCAACCTCAGGAGCACATAGGTGTTAATGTGAGATTTTGGAAAAAATGCATTAAATAATAAAGAAATTCCCGCCACAAATCTTTTTTTTAATGCTAGCTGGGTTAGCTACAATGCTTAAAAATCTCAAGCACCGCGATTGATTTCAGGCATAGAGTTTTAAATTCATATAATATTTAATTGAATAGGCTCAGGCTAATAAATAATGTTACTCCCTTTGGCTATGTGTTGTGCTAACTCTCCAACTGAGATTGGCTAGGTCAAGTGAAAAGAGATATACGTCAAATCTGACGCAGGTAGCATATTTTGCTGTTGATAAAGGAATTCAATTGAGACAATGCAGACTAAAACAAATGACTGGTGTATATGGCCAACACAGTCTCACGGCATTTCGTGTTATAGTCACGAAATTAATCTATTGATTCGTGTTCACCAACACGATTTCCCCATTTCTTTTGTGTCACACAGAACGATTTTAAAAGCAATGTAAATAATAATAAATTAGAAGGAAAAAGAGATTTAAAAAAATACAGATTTCAGTATTCTGACACAGAACGATTTTAGAAGCAATGTATTTCTATTGGTAGTATGTTTCGTGCCTGCACCAAATAATAACAAATTAGAAGGAAAAAAAGATTTAAAAAATACAGATTTCAGTATTCTGAGGCTCTGAGCCCCATTTCTTTTCCTCAAGGACAGCAAAAAAACTCTGACATTATACTATTTAAAATAAAAGGGATAGGGTTAGGCTTAGGGTAAGATATTGAGTAAGAAAATGTTTTTATGAACCACACAGCTTCTGGTTTTCCAAGACCCGACCGGACAAAAAGACGTGGTGCAGGCACGAAACATACTACCAATAGAAATACATTGCTTTTCAAATCGTTCTGTGTGACACGAAAAAAATGCAGGGTATATTAAAAACGTAAAAACTTCATTAGGCCTACTTTTGAGAGATCATTTTGAGCAGGAGATCCAAAAGCCCCCCTGCCCCCAACCTTGCTACTCCGCTGCTTTTTACAATATCAAAATCCTAAAACACTATGAGGAAAGCTAAAGTATTTGACATGTGGAGGAGAGAATTCAAAATATAAAGCAACCCTGGCACAGTGCAATGAAGAGACGTGTCGTGCGGTGTCAAATTATGTGGGAAAATGGAAGTAGTCGAAGGAGCTTTGTTTTATCTCATTTAAGCCTCATCCGTCCTACAGGTGTTTTATTCAAAGGCTCCTGAGATGGAAATAGATCGATGCCAGTTGTTATGGGCCTGAGTATCACTGCAGGAGTTTTGTATTCTTCTTACTCGGAGCAGAACAAAGAAAGAAGATATAATACATGTGAGACAGTAGGAGGGCATAATGCAGAGGGACTATTTCTGTTGTTTCTGTATTCATGAGGCTTTCGGAGAACCTTATGGCGCATTTCCACTGCAGGGCCTCGCACGGCTTAGTACGGTATAGTTAGGCCTTGGTAGGACAAGCTCACTTTATGCTGCGTTTCCATTACAGTTTAGTAGCTGGGGCAGTAACTATAGTAACGCAGTGTAGGCGGAGCCGTGACGTAATTTTCAATGCGAACCACAAAACCAACATCAGCCGTTAGCTGTTAGCACACACTCAGAGCTCACAGCTCCTCATATCTGTTCAGAAACTAGACAAAAGTTAAACAAGTACAAACCACAGACTGTCTGTGTCATGGCGAGTACAGTCGCTGGTTTATTTCAACACAGTCTCACGGCATTTCGTGTTATAGTCACGAAATTAATCTATTGATTCGTGTTCACCAACACGATTTTACCATTTTTTTCGTGTCACACAGAACGATTTTAAAAGCAATGTAAATAATAACAAATTAGAAGGAAAAAGACATTTAAAAAAATACAGATTTAAGTATTCTGACACAGAACGATTTTAGAAGCAATGTATTTATATTGGTAGTATGTTTCGTGCCTGCACCAAATCATAACAAATTAGAAGGAAAAAAAGATGACATAAAATACAGATTTCAGTATTCTGAGGCTCTGAGCCCCATTTCTTTTCCTCGCGGACGGCAAAAAAACTCAGACATTATACAATTTAAAATAAAGGGATAGGGTTAGGCTTAGGGTAAGATATTGAGTAAGAACATGTTTTTATGAACCACACAGCTTCCGGTCTTCCAAGACCCGACCGGACAAAAAGACGTGTTGCAGGCACGAAACACACTACCAATAGAAATACATTGCTTTTCAAATCGTTCTGTGTGACACGAAAAAAAGGTGAAAATCGTGTTGGTGAACACGAATCAATAGATTAAATTAATTTCTAAATTAAACACGAAATGCCGTGAGACTGGGTTGTTTATTTATGTTTATTACATGGCTTAGTTGAATACTCGATTCTGATTGGTCAATTCAGAACACGTGACACGTTGTTAATCCAGAACAGACAGACCGCTGTCAAGGATTTATTGACCGTTGTTAAGGACGCTCACATCTGCACAAACAAGTCCGTTCGATTTAACTGTATACAGTTTGGCCGAAAAGCAGCCTTCATGCCGATCTAGATCCCTCCGCTTCGCGTCGGGCTCCTGATCTGCCTGTCGGTGTTCTTTTCCCCATAATGACCGCGTCGCTGCACATTATCCCTTACCTGTAGGCCGTTGTTGTGAGTGTGGACGGTCGGAGCATATACTGCGTTAGCTTAGCCGATCTCCATTTAGAAAACACGCATTTTAAAAGGTTTTTCGCCTGCCGTCTGTCTGTATGGTTTTTACTAACCGGTATCAGTATGTTGTTACTTTGGCATCATTTTGAAACGTGTATTACAATTAAATCACGGTCAAATATGTTCATGTTGTTGTAGTTGTAGCCCCCTTGCCAGCGATTCTCTCTGACCATTCAGCAGTCGAGAGTGTTTACATCACTAGTTTAGCATATTCAGCCCGGTTGATGGCCCGGTAAGAACCTCGATTTTGGAGGGCCAGAAAAAAGGTGAAAAAGTAGCCCTGAGCCGGAACTACACCTAGTGGAAAAGCAAAAAAAAATGGTCCGGGTTTGGCACGGCACGCTTAAACCGTGCTACGCCCTGCAGTGGAAATGCGCCATTAGATTACTGATTATCAGGATGCTGTTACCCCAGGAGATGTATATTTGTTCACAACGAAGGGCCCCAGTTTGAAATCACACAGCCGCAGGAACAGGTTGAACGCCGGCCCTGGAGAGACAGGGGGAGAAACTTTAGAAACAGAGGATGTGTGGAGACAGGGTCCACTACCTTAGTGATTTTATTGAAAGTCTCCTCAGAGTTGAAAGTGAACATCAAAGAAGATATCACATCCTCCCCAGTGACTGACATCTCTCAGAAGACAGAGGGGGGTGAAATGAAACTGACCCACAAGCAGGCCGGCTTGTCGGCATGCCATGATGGCGGCAAAGATGCCGGCGCGCTCGTCCGGCCGCGTGCTCCGAGTCAGGAAACTGAAGATGGAGGAGCCCGCTCCCGCACCAACACCTGAGAGGGAGGCCTCGTGTTACACCTCCACATGCTGATACCATGGATACTGTACATGCTTTCAGTTTTCTTTCATGTGTGTGTGTGTGTTTGTGTCACCTGCTACAAGCCGACTGCCTAACAACAGCCATTTTGAGTATCCAAGAAAATACATGAAGTTACCTGAGGAGAAAAATCATCAGGCTGAGTAATGCAAATTCAGAGTGAAGACATTTTGAAAAAACCCCACCACTACAGATAGCAATGGTGTTTTTTACCCAGGTTATGAAGCCAAATTACCTTTTGATCCGCTGATAGTTTTTTGTAAAAAGCAGAGTCGGTACTCTATTTTTCGTTTTTAGAAATACCACAATGTAGAAAGTACTCCAATACAAGTCATGCAATTAAGGTTTTTAAGTCAAATATTTCAATTATTAGAATCAAAATATACTTTTATACTTAAAAAACAAACAAGTTAAGGCACTCATTGTATAGAATGGCCCATTTCAGAATCATATATTTTAGCACTGAGTATAATCATTGAAAAGTTAATATGTTTTAATGGAATTAATGTTTCAGCTAATAAAATAAAATTGTACTTTAGGACAGTACTTGAGTAAATGTACTTAGTTACTTTACACCATTACAGTCATGCCAATGGCTCCTAAGTTCTGACTCTGTGTCATCATGTGATTTGTCTCGTGTTTTATTACTCACCGACGATCTCAAATAGATTTGAGAAGAGGATGATGGTCTTTGTAGTCTTGCTGCGGTCGGACCACAATCCGAAAAGCGGGCCGGTGAGCAGGCTGCTCAGACTGAAGGCAGACAGACCCAGGCCCAGGAAGTAGGGGGGGGCCTCCAAAATCTGCAGATACCTCCATATTGTCGGCAGAATGACGGCTGACCACCACAGAAGGATGGAGGGGGAAACAGAGGGAAGATGTGTAAACAACAAGCTTTGTTTACCCACAAAAACATATATTTCTATTAAATATCAGACAAAATGCCAGGCGGATTCTAATCTAATGAGCTTTTTATCTCACGTCTTCAAATCCATAAAGCTGTCAGATTCCACCTACCGTACTCAATGCCGCTCAGCATAAATATCAGTCCGATGGTGAGAAAAGTTAGATTCCTCTTCTGCTGATTATCCATAGCGACTTATTTCTGCCTCTTTTTTATACACAGACCTCTGGCTACGCATGTTGTTCAGAAATGTTGTTCAGAGGCATAATCAGATAACAGGACACACTGTGAGTCCAATTACAACACAGGCCGGGGAAACTGCAAGGAATTTGTCCCGCCATTGTGGAGGTCATTTCAGAACTTCTTTGAAAAGCGTCATCACACGAGGCTCAGCAGGGGCGAGACGTGAAAACTGAATATATAAAAACCTGCGAAGAAAACAACACGGTCCAGTTTGAGATGTTCCCATTAGGCATTTATGTTAAAAATGGAATTCTGTTTGAGGCCCGTTGGAGGAGCAGCGCCACGCTGTCAGCCTCACGGTCAGGGCAATGTCTCCAGTTACCAGGTGGGGTAAAGTGCACTGAGCTTCATCAATATTTAATCGTGTTTTCTCCGGTTTCATCAAAAGCACTTGATGCTAGCACTTGATGCTAGCACTGCTGCGAAGAAGAAGTGAAGAAGTGTGCCAGACTTATCTGCCCTCCTGTAGGTTCAAACTGTGAAGAACTTTGTACAAAAGAGACTCGGTTATTCACAAACACCATACATCACACACAGTAATAAAAAGATATGGGTGAAATGAAATCAGATAAACTATGTAAAGCCGTACCCTCAAATGTGCAGTAAAAGGTTATGGGAAATATTCCCCAAAAACAAAACGCTGTATTGTATTAAATAGTGAATACATTAGGTATGACAGCGCTGTCTGTTTTATTGAACGGGTGGCTCGATTTTCAAGCTGCTGTGCTTCTCCTAGCCCTGGGCTTGTTATAATAAACAGAACTGTCACCACGTTAATACCTCCATGTGTTTTTCCAGAAACCCATGAATAATACAGGGTGTTTGAGTGTTTGAATAACGCAAATACACTCGCTCAGCATCTTGCACTCGTGTCACACGGTGCGGGGACAATCTGAGAGGTTTCTGCTCAAACAGGCCTGCAGGAGAGGAAATGTGGCAGAACACACATGTTCGGATCAGTATCTCTTACTGTAAAGGTATATTGTCATGTAAAAATGTCCGAAAATTCAGCTTTTATTCAAATTATAGAGATTTCCTGCTTTACCCAGTTTTCTTATCATATTAATGTCAAAATCTTTGACAATTGGACTGAAGAAAAATACATTTAAAGACAACTTAACGCCTGAAACACCTTCATTGGACTCCTTTGTTTACTTCAGTAACATAGTGACATCACTAGGTAACAGTCTTGCTCCTATTGGCAGTGCTCTGACACATTGTATGATAGTTTAAGGGGCGGGACATCTCCCTCCATATGTTGTGTACAGTATAATACTTTTATTTTAATTATTCACTTGTACTCTTTCTAAACATCTTTAGAATACATTTAAAAAATGCTACTGTACAGGAAAACAACTTTTTGGAAATAGGTTGAGTCAAAAAGACAATATTACAGTATTACTATTTTTCAACCAAATAATATGACTTTGTTTAGAGTCTGGGGGGTTGGGATATGTAGTGCTGTATTCTTCTAGTCATAAAAAAGTACTTTCAGTCATTTTCAAATAGATGCTGCTATTTCCCAACTGTCAGCCTCAGAGGGATGGCCCACAATGGGGGGATTTAAAAGTAATCAAATTGAATGATGTAACATGTGATCAAGAAGGGATTCATTCATCTTTTCCATGACAAACTGCTACAGCTGAGCACCACAGGCCCACTGAGAGGCCATTAGCATCCTACCTGCCTTACCTGTGCTCGTCTCTATAGAAACACACAGGAGGGTGGAAGGTGTTGTCGCAGTCACCTTTGAGCCTTGGTAAACAACAGGAAGTCCCCCAGTGAACAAACGGCAATCTGGTCAGTCATCTGGCACACTACAGTGAAAGATCAGCTGTTGACAGGACATTAGACTTTGAGATAGTGAGCAGCTTGTTAGGTGGACATACTTTGGGCTGGGAGGTGTCTGAGACAGAAAGGAGTGGGAATGTTCTTGAACATAGCGTCTCCCCGGAGGTCGTTCACCATCCCCATCAACATCAACCTGCAGGGTGCTCGGAGGCGGCAGACACGGTAGGAGAGCAAGGACTGAAAAACACTGGGTGGCCTTCATAAGTTTTAACAATACTTCACATTCGGATTTAGAACTCTTGGACACATATTGGCATGTATGATTAAACAAACGTTGTCTGAGAAGTCAGATCAGAAAAGTTTGGATTGACAAAAATTGATTCATATTTCATTAAAGGGACATCCTGCAGATAAAGCTAATTAAAGAGACGGTTAGCCCAATATGAAAAGTTCCGATTTGTCCTCTTACCCGTACTGATTGTTATCAACCCTAGTCTTAGTGTGAGTTGCTGTTAGTTGGAGATGTTGACCGTAAAGTTGCTAAAGGCACAAAAAAAAAGCATTTGCAAAACTGAAAAGCAATGCCTTTTCTAATATTGGCCCTGTTACTCAAGATAATCCACAGACTTGTTGAAAGCAGTTAAATAAAGAAACTTTTATTTCTATTGTATAACCACACAAAAGGAACTGGTAAATACTCATGAAATAGAGACTTGTGGCAGAGTGGGATTTTAACATCAATAGCGCCCTTGTCTAAGCTTTAACGTTAGCTAGCTCAAGAAAGCCTCATGTCTACAGTAGATTCACACCTCCTTCAACAAGGGGATACCTTTTCATGTTGGGAAAATGGTAAACATTCTACCTGCTAAAGAACAGTGGGTTAGCATAGTTATTGTGAGCATGTTATCATGCTAATGTTAGCATTTAGCCCAAAGCACCACTGTGCATAAGTTTAGCCGCAAAGAGCTGCTCTCTCAAAAACATGGCAGTAAAATACTAAATTGGCAGAGTCCTCCTTTAAAGTTCCTTCTCATTGAAACATTGCCAACGGAACTCTATATATTAATTTCTCTTTTTTTTAAAAGCTAAATGAAAAAAGAGAAAATCCTGATGCAATATATCTGAAAAAATGCAAATGTGCCTTGTTTCCAAAACGATTTGAATCGAAGATGTTCAGCCCTGAAGGGGAATCATGTAGTTTGAATAGAAAATTCATCAAATAAACCAAATCTTATGTTGCACATTACATTTGTTGACGCCTTGAATCAAAATTCTAATTTGTATCACTCTTGGATAAAATCGTTACTACCCTGGTGTCTGTGCACAAGATTTGTGTGTGTATATGTGTGTGTAATGTATGTGTGTGTATGTGTGTGTGTGTGTGTGTGTGTATGTGGGAGAAACAGAGAGCTCCTCCACACAGCAGCAGCGCAGGAGCAGGAGTGGAGCAGAGGGCTGGATGTGTGGGGGCGGCCGCAGCGAGCTCGGACCCAGGCGCCGGTGTCGAGTGTTGGGGAGGACCGAGCCATCCTGCTGAGCTTCGCCATGATGGCCTTCTCCGTGCTCATGTTCTTTGTGGTCTTCATCACTATGGTCCAACCTTATGTGAACAGGTAGTTTGTGATGATGACTTTTGACAATGGCAGAATATCATGTGCTTTTTAACAATACAATTAGGGCTGAAACTAATCATTTTTCTTTGATTGAACTGGTGATTATCATTTTTCTTCAATGGGAGACTGTTTAGTTAAATGTCTGACCAAAATCTAAAATCTATTATCAGAGTTTGTATGCAAACTACATGTTTTGGGAGCCCATTTCTACCAAGAAAAACAAAAGCTCAACCAAAGACCTTTACCCACCAGGGCGTTGTTTTTTTAGCATCAATGATAAATATACACGTGACAGGTCTGAGCCTCTCATACAACCTCTCTGCCTCTGCTTCTGCAACGCTGCTGCTTTCTACCGAACCACCACCCCATCATCCACCTGTAGGCTCTGGGGGATAGCTATTTAATCATTAATCCTCAACAGTTATGTAAAAAATATTTGCGTGGAGGCTAAACTCAAACTATTTGCTGCTGTTGATAAACATTGCAAATGTAACTTGTCTGACTGAAATGTATTTTTTGGCACTCGTTTTTGCTATAAACACTTGCATGGACCAACAATGTTTTAAGGCGAAAGTTTCACACGAGAAAATAAAGGCATCAACCAATGATGGTGTGTACAGATTTATATGATCTTGTAGACTCCATAGTTAGAACCAAAACAGCAAACCTTATTTTCCTCCAACCTGGACCAAGTTGATTTATACCAGATCCATTCATTCTGTTTTTACTCACAAAAAAATCACAAGTGCTCAAAGAACCAATGCTAGCTTTTCCAATGTTTGCATGTTAGCATGCCACTTTTAAAGATTAGTACAAAAGAAAATGATTTTTTTTGCAGCTTTTTGGTCATAAGCTAAAATACTCTAAGGAATCAAATGCACGTGCGTAAAACTTGTAATGGCAAACTACCATGTGCATGTCACGATGTTGACCTATGAAAGTGGAAGAAAGGCTAATGGATCACCAACGTCCAGATTTGTCCTCTGTGTACGCTAAAAATCAATAGTTGAGTTGATATTTAGACCAAAGTGATAGTCCGACCAACTGACAGACCAGCATTGCCATGTGTAGCATGTTTAAATCAAATGTTAAGTTTGACGTGTCAAAAATAAGACAATATACATTTTTAAGATAGTAAGTATTTTATAATTGTGTGTGTTGAGTATTATAATGCATAGCGTTTAATCTATTTTTTGGAAGAAATGGGCTTCCATACAATTAGCTAAAACAAGCACACAAAAACATACCTCACATCAGAGATCTAAGAAAGGAAACAAAAGAAGACACTGCCTTTCTGGTGTGAATCTGTCTATACTGGAGCTGTTCCTCTTTGTTTTCAAGTAACTGGGAGGAGGGGGTCCGCTGTGTGCTGCTGCAGGCTGACATCCTGGAGGAGTGGGTGGACTGCAGAGGTGTGAGCACCGTGCCGTGCCTCAGGGTGACGGTGAACCTCAGCGACTCCAATCAGAGGGCTCTCCTCCACTTTGACGAGGAGCCTCTCCTCCTCGCTCCTGAGGTAGAGTTGTATGTCAGTCAACTCCAGGTTTAAAGTCCCACCCTTCAGCTGAATGCACTGTGGGTTTGGATCTGAATTATATGGTGGCCGACAGAGGCAAACACGTAACAACGACCCAAAACACTTACATTTAAGAGAAATACGCTACAGTTTCAAAAACTATGCAAATAAAAAAAGCACCAAAAAACATGCGCATCGTTTGCTAAAAGCGTTTCATAAACTAAACGCTGTAAACACAAAACGCAGCAAATCAAAAATAGCTGCAAGAAGCTCAAAAAACTATGGAAACGGGGACAATAAAAAGTGATGCACACAGCTGGGACTAGAAGCGCTTGTTGACTTTTGGGGATTAAAAAGTTGGCCTGTCACTCTCGCAGAGTTAGTCTGTTTTATAATTGTAAGTATTTTGTCAGTATATTAGCTTTGTTAGCTAGCTAGCTTACAGCAGATCTGCAATAATATCTTAAGGAATCATGTGATCACATAATAATCCAATCAAATGTACATTTTAGGTGAAAAAGTTTCTTCTTTTTTATGTGTTTTAGAACATTTGTGTTTTTTTTATTTGCATCGTTCTTAAAAGTGCAGCACATTGTCCCCAAACGGAAATCTTTTTGGCCGTTGTAACGTTTGCACCTGCCACAGTATAAAACAAATACAGAACATATTGAAATGCCACTATTAGATAAAGGATAGGAAGAAGTTGTATATACACAGGTGATGAAGCTAAATTACTTACATACAGTATACATACAGTATACTTAAAGGTAGGGTAGGTAAGTTTGAGAAACCGGCTCGAGATCGCTAGAATTTGAAAATACACAACTGGAGAAAATCTGCCACTTCCTTACAGAGCCCCTCCTCCAACACACACGAACGCGCACATGACCAATGAGGGCACGAGATAAATTTGTGCACAGATGGAAGGCTGACAGGCAGGTAGGCCATCCAGTTATTTAGCCGGCCCGGCTAAAATGATTGGTCGTGCTTTTTACAGTACTACGGCTTCCACAGATGACATTTATGTATGGATTTCTTGTCAAAGCACTTAAGATATTCATTGCTCTCGGGATGTTAAGAGCATTCCATGGAATATAACAAAAAGTGTATCTCGAGCCGGTTTCTCAAACTTACCTACCCTACCTTTAACATAAAAAATAAAATAAGAAAAACGCGTTAGCACCTGTCAGCCACCGTAGTAGACTCCTACCAGACTGTAGGATAGTGGATTTGAGCATTAAGACTTAATGTGCTACATCTTACAGTAGGACTACTCTGTGAAGTATATCTTTATGGCAGGCATCCGAGCAAGGACATTAGTAAGCTTCTGAGAAAGAAGTGAAAGTAAAAAGCTGAACTAACTGACAGGATGGACAAGTGGAAACGTTCTGCACCCTTGTGAGTAAAACAGCAGATATTATAAGGAGACACTCTCATGCAGCACTTCTGCTCCATTCAGAGGAATTATAGGAAAGACAATTCTGTACCAGTTCTGCACATGAAAAATAGAGAAAAAATACTAAATCATAAAAGAACCTTGCAGCTCGTCTCCCTGATTGCAATCAGCCGACTGTATCAAGCAGCCCCCTTGATAAAGAATTACACTTGAATCATCTTTTTCTTTCTCAGTGTTTTTACGTTCCCAAATGTCAGACGGACAGAGCAGAGCTGGAGGATGAAGTCCTGAAGGTGAAGAGCAGCTTGGACTCTCAGATGGGGGTCACCTCGTCGTGCATCGCTGACCCCTCAGGGCACCCCAGGGACGTCATCCTAAACAGGAAGTACACCCTGAGGATCGCTCTGTTTACCCTGTTGTGGCCCGGCCTGATGCTGGGGGGGGGGGGCTCTGCTGGTGGGGCTGGTGAAGCTGACGCAGTGCTTAGCCCACCTCTCCTCAGGGAGCAGTGAGGCTGCAGAGGGCCGGCGTACATCCAGACACTCTCAGGGGAAACTGTACCGAGTGCTGCGCAGGTCCAGCTCCCAGACGCCTCCCTAACATCAGGGTCTGTAGATAGATCAAACATATTTATGTAAACGTGAGAGGTTTAAGTTTAAAAAAATATAATAAAAAAGATTTCTATAAACATACAATATATATACACGAGTGATTCTATAATTTAGGGTGCATTTCACATCAACAAAACAGTACAAAGAAAGTGTTCTTTCTCAATAGAACAATCAGTGGTTCAAGTTAGTATATTCCTCAGTGTAACATATCCACTAGTTGCAAAGCTTAAACATTTTTTTATTTTATTTTATTTTAAGGGAAAGGATGTTTTCACAACTATGTTACGGACAAACTTGATGTCATTACAATCATTTGATTAAGTCCTGCACTTCAAGTAAAATCACATTTGAAAGGCTCTTGAGTCTATTCTACCATATATCCAAAGATTTTTTAAAGTTTAAAAAATAATTGTATTAAAGTTTTGTTTTTTCATGTGATATGTTCAGCACTGTCATTAAGTTTAGGGATATTTTGTATTATAAAACTACCATACAGGTCATTTTGATAGTTTTAAGAGATGTCATGTAAAACTCCAACCTGTGTAGATATACATTATACTATAAAGGATATCAGAAGCACTATTTTAGATATTTTAAATTTGAAAAAATGAGGTGCAACATAGTTGACAATGAAAGTCAAACATTTGACGCAAATAACATAGTTGACTGGACACATTATTAACCATCAGCACTATGTTAATTTCAAGGCAGAAGTGCAAAATTCCATTGATAATGATGTGTAATGACGTCTACATGTCCTACAAATTGTCAACTAGGTTACCTGTCAACTAAGTTACTACAGTTATTACAGTACTGGGTAACTCAGTTGACAGGTAACTTAGTTGACAATTTCCCTATTTTGACCCATCATTTCAATGGTAGGCCTTGCCTGGATGACCACATGTCATTTTCTTGAACAGGTTAACATCACATTTGAACATATAATTGAATTAAAATCATTAAACAATTGTAAACCATAACAATGTACGTAACATTGTTGATTGTCAATGAGTATATTAATTGACCATGTGCTATTATACATAAAATATTGTAAAAAATTAGAGGACAATCACCACAGTGTGTTCAAAATGTCTGCCAAAGAGGAACATGGCATCATGTGATGCTGGTGACATGGTATTGGGACAAACCATTTTTGAGTTAAAGGGGGGAGTTCTCTTAGTAACATAGTTGACAGAACTTTTGCGGACATTCATATATTAAGATATTTAAATTATTTAAAGGAGGAAATCAATTAAAAATATGTTATTATTCTTTAGTATTTAGACTTTTAAAATAAATGAATACTTTTTTTTATTTACTTTAATGGTTTTTATTCATTATTTTGAAACCAAGACACCCTCAACTGAAAAACGGACAGAGCAAAAATTGACAATTTAAGAACATCATGACACATTTCAAGCTAAATAAAGCATAGGATACACATAATGTTTGTGTGATATTATAACATGCTTTCCAATAATAGGCAAAATATGATATTTTTGAAGAAAATAATTAGAATAATTATAATTATCATCAATGGACATCAATGGACATGGAATGTACCCTAAATTGTAGAATCACTCACACACACATTAAAGGTTAAAGTGGGAATGTGAAAATGAAATATATTAAAATAAAAACAAGAAGTTAAAGTAAAATGTGCACATTGTACTGGAATAAATGTATATAAACATAATTAAAACAATGTTTTATAGAAACAAAAAAGTTAAAGAATGTCTGATATAAATATTAAAAAAAAAGAGCACACATATTTATTCAAAGGTGAGAAAATAAAGTAAGAATGTACCATTAAAATATGACAAAAAAATATATATATATATTTAAAGATCAGAAGTTAAAGTCAAATATGTATATAAACACTAAAGGTTCAAGTCAGAATGTCCAATAGAAATAGAAAAGATAGAAAAAAAACATGACGAGTTAAAGTAAGAATCTCCGATAAAATAATTAACAAATTTAGAATTAAAATATTTATAAAGATAACAAGCTAATGTAAAAATGTGCACAATGTACAACAATATATGTTATATAAGAATCCTTCATTTGTGCAACATGCAAAACCAAAGGTCAATATAGCAACATGATGTGAACCAGGGCTCACGAGAGTCTAACATCAAAGAAAGGCTTCTTTCTAGCCTTATTCTCTTGAGCCGTGCAGAAAAATCGTACATTTAAAGAATTAATCACCGCTCCCAAATTAATTTAGAGAACTCCAGAGGCTGCTGAGCTCACTGAGGAGTGACCAGCGAATAACTGGTACAGTCACACACACATTTCAACAAGAAAAACAATGTAATGCTGACAGGAATTTAAAAAGGAGCCGATATTGGCTAAATCACTCAAGGCATGCTTCACTATTTTGAAGCACATACTGTATGATGTTAATACTGGAGCGTAGTAATGTTTATGGGCCCAGTTTTTCTGAATTTACATGATTGCTGTTTAAGAATTCTGACAAAGGTTTTCATTGAATAAAATCCAGAGCTAGATTTCTTTTTTTATCTTAGGTTTGAGACATCGGGAGATGTCTATAAATAATGTTATACCTTGGACCTTGCGCAGGCACTCCAGGGCTTTGCAGTTGTTCCGAAATAAGGCAAGGCAAGTTTATTTATACAGCTCCTTTCATCTAAATGCATCTAAAATTACATTCAGGTTGGTAACATGGCAACTCCGGCAATTGCACTCATGTCATTCTTCTCAGTGTTAAATTAAGTAAACAGCAAGACATGTTTTGGCGCGTTTCCACTACAGCGCGGAGCACGGTTTAAGAGGGCTGTGACGTCAGCGGCCCGTCTTTGGTTGCGTTTCCACTTGGCCTAGTACCGGCCGGCGGGTCCTAATTCACAGTTTTTCTGGCCTCATAAAATCGCGGGTCTAGGGCCTTTGCTTCCATGAAATTGAGAGCTTGTCTTTGGTTTTTGAGGCATCTCGTTATTTGGAAAAACAAGAGAAGATTTATTTTCCCTTAGAAACAGTTTCTAAAACCTTTGGGATGATAATACATTCAGAAAAACATGGCAAATATTGATTTCCAAAGTGAATGAATGAGTTTGTAGCATCTTGACTGTGCTTAACCAGGTGTGAAACTCCCATTGGCTGATTCAATGCACAAGGAAACACATTTAGAAAGGATGCTGTCAGTATTTAATGACATTTCATATTTGTTAAAGAGGATATATCATATTATGCTAGCCAATAGAAGTGTGAGTGTTACATAGTGGTGTCATTATGTTACAGAAGTAAACAAAGGAGTCCAATGGAGGCGTTTCATGCAGGGAGGGGGGGGGGGCAGGGTGTGGGAGAGAAACTCCCTCTGGAGGGAACACAGGGATTGTAGCCTTTGCAGACCATTTACATACACTAAAACCTATGGAACACACTACAGGAGAGGGAACCCCCAAAAGCAGATTAGGACTCTTTAAATGTTACTTATAGCATTCAGCCCCATTTTGTATTTAAAAAACAACAAAGTGTGTACCAGTCCATCTCATCAAGTCTTTGTCGCCTGTGGGAAGATGGATGTAAGAATTGTTTACAACTTGAAGCCTTATCCCACATGAATGTCAATCTTTATCCACACAATGCAAAAGAAGTGCCTTATAAATGACTCACAGTTGTCTACATGTATAAAAAGCAACAGAATAATAAAATGTGTTTCAATAGGGAGAAATGTTTTTATTCAATAGTACAATAAATGAATGCATGTTTCTTATCAGACATATGCGGATGAGTAAAACGAATAATTGAAAAGGTTTAATGATATATATACAGATGGATATATAACTAACACATGACTGGATCTTTTTTTAAACATGCAGGGTAGGGTCTTCCTCTGTATTGTGCTTACAGACCTCCACTTGATGTGAGGAGCGTACTCCGACGTCCTTCATTGGACAACTCTTCTCTCATTATACTAGCTTCTGGATGAGGATGTTGCACATTAATTCATGATTCCTCCGCCTCCTCTTTTTTTTCCTTTTTCTTTTGGTTAGCAGTTACATATATACGAGTTTGCGTACATTTTAAAAATACAAAAATATATTACCTCTGTAGTTATTCAAGGAAAGCACATGATGTAGTATTTTTTCGGTTATCTTCATTGTGACTTTGTTGTACCTCACACAAGTAACAAGGTCATTTCTATACATGAGATTCAAGTAAACAACATCAGGTCAACCAACAGAAAAAAACAACAAATAAAAGTAGATATTCGAGGACCTCATGCATAATGCAGTGTGAGAAACAGAACGGTACAAAGGGAAATAGCATTTTTCAGAGAGTTCTTCCATAAAGTATATGGGGTCTTTTGTTTTTGTTGTCTGGGTCCGGCCCACTGCTCTGTAGCCGGTACAGGAGCATCTCAGCAGGGGCGGCTTTCTGAGCAGTTTCAGTCTGTTCCCACGTACAGAATCAAATGGACTTTCAGACAGACTCCAGTGTCCAGGAAACCGCCCATTGGGTATCATTTGGTAAAGCTGGAACATGAACTGACCTCTTACGTATGCAAAACCTGCAACCGTCCATACATAAGCGCGACAATCATAGGAGAGTGGAGGGAAGAAGACACTTGGTTCAAAAATAATTCACTCCGGTTACTTTCTCTACCTGGATGTCACGATGTGGCAAATGTGAGGAAACGGGCCGTCTTAAAGGAATACTTTACCATCAAAACGATCATTTCTGTATCAGTTACTTACCCCGTGTCACCTTGAATAAAAGTGTTTCTCACATGCCTCGACGGTCAACGAAGAATTAAAAAAGCCTGATGAATAGAAGTAAATAGGGTCAATCTTACTATATCAAGACATCTGCTCACTACTTCCCAAACACAAGTATTTTTTTGTGAAACTATTCAACACACTTTGCACTCAAACGCATTAGTTGCCTGACACTGTTTATCCGGAAGTGTGTATCGCTCACCTACTTACCCCTTAACATTCAAGGACTTTCGAGGCCATATTCCCT